CATTCCATTCTTTTGGGTACACATCCAGGAGTGGAATTGTTGGTAATTCCATGTTTAACTTACTAAGGAGCCACCAGCCTCGATCCACATTTTTTTACTCAGTTCTCTGTCAGTGGCACCAGGTAGATGTTACTTAGCCGAACTCCAGAACAGAAGACTGGTTCTTCTTCCTGCCCTCATTCTGTTATTAACTCAGCACATACAGTCACTCAACTCCCTCTTCTTCCCAAACCCCACAGCAGCCCCATACAGACAGGTGAGGCTGGGGTGGCTCAGGGCCGTGCCAAGAAAAGAAGCAGGAACCCAGGCAGACACTGTCTCAAGGTGGCAAAACAGAATCTCTTTCCTGAAGGTCAGGCCTCCCTCCAAGGGCCCTCCTGGTTCACGGACTGGCCACTTTCCCTTTGGAATGAACCCCACAGACTGGACAAGTTTCAGGCCTGGGTAGATCTTGAGGAGTCGTGCCTTTGCCTTCCTCGCTCATGAGGCTGCAGTGAGCATTTGAAGTTGGTAGAGCTGACGGAGTCGTGTTGCTGGGAGAGAGCCGTCTGCAGGGCAGATGAACTGAGGTCAGCAAGTCCAGGACAGCCCGGCTAGTGTTGCCCTCAGCACCTGGGAGCATCCCTGTGTGCTGGGCGCCATGTGGGAGCCCCTGTAAGATGCCTCCCTACCCCCTAGCACACATCGTAAAAGTGGAGACCAGTACATGTGGCATGAATGCTCCATTAAACTTGCAGAATTTTATTTATTTATTTATGTATTTATTGAGTTGGAGTCTCACTCTTTCACCCAGGCTGGAGTATAGTGGCACGCTCACGGCCACCACAGCCTCGACCTGCTGGGCTCAGGCAATTCTTTCCTCCTCAGCCTTCCAAGTAGCTAGAACCACAGGCATGTGCCACCACGCGCAACTAATTTTTTAAAATTTATTTTAGAGATGGGGGCTCGCCAAGTTGCCCAGGCTGGTCTCGAACCCGTGAACTCAGGCAATCCTCTCACCTCAGCCTCCCAAAGTTCTGGGATTATAGGCATGAGCCACCGCGCCCAGCAAACTTGTAGGATTTAAATATAGAATTGGAATCCACCTCCCAGCATGTAAAATATTCCAAAAGGGAATGTTCAAAACAGAAACATTCATATGGTTTTATGAACTATGTTAAAATGTGTAAGGAACATAAACTGATAGCTCTCCTGAACCATCTCTCATGGGCGGTTCTTAGCACTTAAATGAGAAAGGAGTGAAAATTCCTTCCGAGAAACAAAATAATAGTTTCACACATAGTGCTTCTCATCTTTCAGTGTCCCGTGCACATCACACCCCAGCCTGTGCACCCCATGAGGGCAGGCAGCTTGCCCAGACTCAAGGAAGACCCCATCCCTGGTTACAAGATTGGGTTCTGTAAATGTCCCAGGACCTGCTGGGTCAGCCCAGGGGAGGGCCCAGAGGCAAGTGCTGGACTGACCACGCCAAGGAGGCAAAGAATATAATTGTTATGCATATTTGACAGTTGTAAAAAAGAGGCTGGGAGGAGTCTTGGAGGAGATCATGAAGGCAGTGAGCCGGCAGAGCCAGCACAGAATCCAGACCCTCCTGCCCTTTTGTATTAAGACCTCAAAGAACTCAGGAGAGTCTCAAGGGGTCTTAGCACAGGCAGGAGCCCTGGGGGCAAGTGAAGGGACCACCACTCCCCACCACCTTTTCTTTCCTAATGTGTCTCTGATTCTCATTCAGTCGAGGGATGCTGCTGGGAAGTGGGAACTAGATGCTCGCCACAGACCCTCAGTGTTGTGGTCCTCGAGAGGCAGGCTCAGAAATGAGGCGAGCCCCGCAGTGCGTGTCAGCCCACAGGCGAGTCTCGGGGCTGCGTCCCGCCTCTCCAAACTGGGGCTTCTCCACCCAACGGAAAGGGCTGGTACGACACTCACTCTGCCACGTGGGCTGGGCCTGCTGTGGAATGCTGGAGAGCCAGCACTGCCCATGGGAGGAGAGGACCAACCGGCTGTCCTGGGAGGGTCCACTCCACCGGGGAGGGGACTGAGCAGCCGCTGGGCTGACAGGAGAGAGGACAGGGAGAGGGAAGGGGACCAGGGCTTGTTCACATCCCCCTTACTGAAGAGTCTGACACCCAGGTCCTGCTTTCCTTCTTGCTGTTCAAGGAGAGCTCTCATGTCCGCCAAGCAGCGGCCTCGGGTAGCGGAGAAAAGCTAGCCTTGCTAAGTGGTGTTGACTTGTACGTGAGCTGCTTGGACCTTCCAGAGCATGGGCTGCTCTTTCCTCTTCTGGAGGCTCCCTGAGGAAGGAACTGTCCCTTATCCTCCTTCCATCTCCTGATTCGCTACCCGAGCCAGTATGTGCTCCACAGTACCTACTGACCAAGACAGCAGAAGGCTGGAAGAGGAGCACCCAGCCTCCTGCGGTGGGAGCCGGGTTCTTTGCTGCTTTTTAATCCGGCAACCCCGAGGGCTCCGCTTTCAAGGTGAAGTTGTATTCTTATTGTCCTGGGTGCCTTTTAGAACAGCCATTTGCTTCCCTCCATTTTCCCACAGCTTAAACCCCTGCAGCAAGGCTATAGGGCAGATCCTGGAACAACAGAGAGCCCGAAAGGAGGGCAGAATTAGCCGGGTGTGGTGGCACGTGCCTGTGGTTCCATCTACTTGGAAGGCTGAGGCAGAAGAATCGCCTGAGCCCAGCAGGTCGAGGCTGTGGCGGCCGTCAGCGTGCCACTGCACTCCAGCCTGGGCGACACAGTGAGACTCCCACTCAAAAAAAAAAAGAAAAAGAATAGACAGAGGCAGGGGCCACTCTGCTGACCCTGAGTGAGCCAAACCTGGCAAGGCCAAGTGGGACTCGGTGGCTGGGATGGGGACTGAGTCAGGAAGCCCCTGCTGCAGGGATGTCTGGATTGTCTGAACACGAGGATGAAGTTGGACTGATGACTCCCATTTTCTCTCTCTTTCTCATAGTAATTTCAAGCTGACAAGGAATGTGGCCTGCTCAGAGCCCATTCCCTAAGAATTTGTGTCCCCAGGTGATTCTAGAACCCACTGTGTGCACGTGACTGTACCAGGCTCCAGGGGAAGGGTGAGGGTGATGGTCACATGCTCTAGGGAAGGACACAGGCCCACCGGGAGGCAAGGGCATGAGGACGCCACTGCAGGGTCTGGAGGGTGACTCCTCCAGGGCCCCCTTCAGGAAGACAAACCCAGCGGGAAGGACCCAGGGCCATGCCACCTTGACAGAGCCCGAGCTTGGGAACTGGCCTGGTCCGGGAGGCATCTCCAGCCACAGGCATGTCCACAGTGCTGGGGCTTTGCTCTGGGCCAGCACGGGGGCTACGGGGCCCCTCACCCAGGTCCCACGGCCCAGGGCTGCGCTTCTACTCTGCAGAGAAACCCTGGTTCCCGCAGGAATGAAAGATGACCTGCGTCACTGCCGGGGATGGGCTCTGCTATTTTTATGTCCAAGTCTGATTAAAAATAGCTATCTAAGCCAAGGTTTTAGCTGTGGCTGATAAGACATTAAGTATTAGATACCTAATGCCCACAAGTGATAACCGTGAGTGTCTTCCTGTGTCCATCTTCCGCCTCCCAACAGGGTTATGAGAAAGTATGTAGGAAACAACTGTGAGATGAGCCCCTCAGAACACCTCAGGTGGCTTCCCAAACTTGGGGCCTACTGTGGGATGTGCCCATCAGCTGTCCATAGAGGCCCATTGCTCTCAGCCCGCTGACCCCGTGGGCCACTGCTCACGGGCCCTTCTGGCAGCCATGCGGACAAATGAGTCACCTCAGCATCTGAGGACTGTGTCTTCCAGGCCAACCATGCTTAGAAAGCGTCTCACATTCACAGCGGCTCAGTAGAAGTATGTCTGGGCTGAGTGGAAGCTCAGCGTGTGCCGGTCTCGGCCCGGCCTTCCCCTGCAGCGGAGACACCACAGCTCAGCATTCGCTGCTCGACACCAAGAGCAGCGCTGGCCCATGAGTCCTGCACGGTGTTCAGAGGGGACCTGGCCTGCCCACACCCCGAACGCTGTCCCAAGAATAAGGAAAAACTCCCAGGGCTTTAGGCACACAGAGCAGAGCCAGCCCGCCCTGCCGCGAGGCTCCTAGGCCGGCAGGCCTTTCTCCCTTCCCTCGCCCCTCCCAGCTCCAAGAAGGCTGACGAGGCATCAGCAGTGGTACGGCGTGGGATGGTGCTGGCATGTGCGAGCAGACCTTAGGTACCAGCCTATTTCGGCAAGTTTCTCAGCTCTCGAAGTAAGCAGCAGCTTCTTAAGTACACTCAGTGTGGTTGAGGAGCCGGAGGAAAGGGTTCGCAGCCTCGCACCCCCGCCTGGGCTTCTCCGCCCTCAACCCCACACGCAGCAAGGGCCGGCTGAGGCCTCCCTCACAAGCGCCCAGGCCGGCAGGTGTGGGCTCTGCGGCACAGGCTCCCCACGGACCCAAGCGGGAAAGCCGCCCCTGCCCAGTCCCCGGCCGCCAGGGAGGTGGGCACCTCAGCCAGGGCAGCCCCAGCCTCTGGGCCTTGGGGAAGCTGGAGTCAGACCCACTTCTGACAACCAGGCCGGGGGCCAGGGAGGGGTGAGCCCGTGGGGCTCAGAAGACACCTGGTTGGCCAGGGAGTGTGGTGGGAAGTCTCCGCGTATCCCTGGACCCAGAGCCACAGGTCGCAGCATGGCGGCTGAGTGTCAGAAGCCCGGCTCCAGGACTCCTGACGCCCCAGCCAGAGACCTGGTGGCCACGCTTCAGCCACCTGTCCTCTGGTCCAGCACCACGTGCTGGCTCCCTGGAGCTGAGCAGCAGGCCTGGCGCAAGGCCGGTGGGAGCCCGCCGGCGCCGGCCTCTCATGCCTCCCCCTCTCTGGGCCTCGCTGAGCGTCCCTCCAGCCTCCTCTGGGCGCCCGTGGAGAAAGCAGGCTGGGCCAGGCCGCGGGACCCAGAGACCACCCCGTTCTGCCCGCCTGCTAACCACCTTCTGGTCTCTGTCTTTCCGTCTCCCAGTGAGAAGCGCCACCTTCAAGTGAACGTCACCAACCCGGTGCAGTGCAGCCTGCACGGGAAGAAGTGCACCGTCTCCGTGGAGACGCGGCTCAACCAGCCGGAGCCTGACTTCACCAAGAACCGCTCCGGCTTCATCCTCAGCGTGCCCGGGAACTGACGGCCCCACGGCGGTTCTGGCCCGGGGCGTCCATGCTGGCAGCCGGGTCCCAGCCCAGTCACCACATGCCTGCTCAGCCGCTAGAAACCAGCTCGCTGGGGCCCAGGCTGGGAGCAGCCCCCGCCGCCGCCTCTGAGGGCCTCCCGCTGCAAGCTCGTCTTCCTGGCTTTCTGCCTTTGGTGTCCACCTTCCTCTGTCCCGACTTTCCATGGTCCCTGCCCAGTAAACCAAAGACCTTGGTGCCCCGCTCGGCCTGGGCTGGCATTCGACCACATCTCGCCTCAGAAGCAGCAGGTGGCACCTTCAGTTGGTGCAGGTGTCCCCTGAATGGCCAGGTCGAGTCAGCACGCCTCGAACCCATACCCTGCAGAGGGAGGGGTGGGGGTGCCCAGAATGCAGTTTCCCCAGCCAAAGATGTGCTCCTGGGGGGCTGGGAGGACGCGGTGGGCGTGAGCTGGGGATGCAGCCCCGCTGACCCGGAGTCCACCTGCCACCCCCTCCCGCTGGGAGAGCCAGCCCACAGAGCCCTTCCCAGAACTCAGCAGGCCCCGCCGCCCCCAGCAGCCAGCCAAAGCCACCAGGTGAGCAGGGGTCACCTGCAGAGCCCAGCCCCTCAGCCAGGAGCCGGTGGCACCCGCAGAACGGCCATGCCCAGCCAGGAGCCCGTCCTTCCCGGAGCCTGCCCTGGCCACCAGGGCCCCGCCAGCCTCCGACCTCCACTCTGGAGAGCAGTGTGCCGCCTCCTAGGGCGTCTTTTTAGCCCACAGCCCGTGGCCCTGGCCCTCTCTCACTGAGTTTGGCAGTTTGCAGTGCTGCTGCGCAGATATCGGCCGTCACCACACCCGTGTCAGGAATCGCAATCAGAAAATGGAACCGCAGGGGCGGGGGAGCAGGCTTGGCGGCTTTCCCTTTCGGACACCCCTTGCTGGTTCCCTGCTCGCTGGAGAGCGAGGGCTAGCATGGGGTCGGAGCGCGGGAATGACGGGCGTGGGCACGGAACACAGCGCGGGGTCCTGACACTGCAGGCCAGGCCAGGACGCTCACCCCCCGCACCCGCGCCCGGAGCCTGGGTCCCTGGACCTCGCGCCAGGGAGCGCTGCCGGCTTGCCAGGCTCTGCCCCGCAAAAGCACGTGCGCTCCAGAGGCCTTCCTGGGACCACCCTCCTCCCTGAGCCCAGCTGCCGGCAGGAGGCTGCGGCCTGGAAGGAAGGAGAGACTCGTGATGCCCCGTGTGGTGAGGGGATGAGGGGGTGCCCACGCTTTGCTTCGGGGGAGCAGGCCGGGGTGTGAGAGAGGGGCACACTGAAGTTTCTTCACTTTCTGCCACAGACATTGCCGCCCACCCCGGGCTCCGTCCTGCCACTCTGACCAGCAGGCCCCCCAACGCCTGTGTGCAGTCTCTTGTGCCTCTCCCAGGACCCGACCCCAGGGTGGTCCCAGCAGCCTGGTCCCATGCCCGCCGCCACCCACTTCCCAGGGCTTGCAAACACTCGCGCTGTGTGCAACCTCAGCGTCCCCCTCGAGAGCCTTCTCGGAAGCCTGGTCAGCTGCCTGCGCAGGCAGGGTGCCACCGGCCCAGGTGAGCAGAGCCGGGTCTTGCCAATTACCAGGAGACACCAGCGGAGCCATCTGACGGGAACTTCGCCTCTCTTTCCACTTACTCCCCAAACTTGTTGCTTCACACTAGACACATGCACATGCACGTCTTAAGCACCCCAAAATGGATCATGCCAAATGAGTTGCCTGTCAGGGCCGGAGAGCAGGAGGCTCGGGTTCCTTCCTCCCACCTTTTGAGGTTGCCTCAGGTCCCTGGGGTCCCAGCGCCGAGGCCGCCCTGCTGAGATCACAGGACAAGCACTTTTGACCGAAAGAAACCACGATGTGTGGCATCGGAAAACGGATGGGGAATCTTGGGTGTGATCGTGGTCGTGAGTCCAGAGCGCTGAGGGGGAAGGAAGGGGATACGGTGATTGTATGCGATGAAGGGTTTCTCTTGATTAAATGCAATTTTATGGTTTGGTGCGAATATCCCTATTTTCCATTAAATTAACTTTATTTCTAAAGCATATTTTGATTTACCATCAAGAGCAATAAAGCATTAAATCTTATTTTTAAAGGTGTTCTGCTTATCTGTCATCGAAAACTATAGCTGTGAGATTTTAGCTTATATAAAGTCAACTGTTACCCCAGAGGATGGGAGAATTAAGCACAAATATTGTAAAATTGGGGACAATTTGCCTGAGGCTTTTGAACAAAAATACTACATGGTGAAGAGAAGAAAGGGAAGGGGTGGGCAGCAGGGTTAAATCCCTGCACCTTCTCCCGCCATCTTAAGGCCTGTGCTCCAGCAGCTGGAAGCCATTGCTTGGTGCCAGGGGACGCGGTCATTGAAATAAAAGCACGTGCGTATAACAGAAAGGCTCAGATTCCTGGAGCAGCGCTTGGGGACAGGACAGGCCGTTGAGTGAAGGGACAGGAGGAAAGTGTGGGGATGGCAGCAGAGTGACAGCAAGCAAGCAGCAGCTCCCCTTGGGGTGATAGGGCAGCCCCGGCACCCAAGGGCCCCACCGCTGCAGAGTGCTTCTGGGCACCAGTCATTAGCAGAAAAGAACGTGCAGTGGTGGCTTCTGTGACTCAGACCGAGGAAGTTGCTTTGAGAAAAGCTAGTGGCCTTGATAAGAAGGCTGACGGCGCCCAAGCTACAACCTGAGCACAAGCTAGCCTTCCTAGCAGCCACGGTTGGCGCTGAACTCAGGGTGCCGGGCCTGGGGACAGTTGTGTCCAGCGTCCCCACGACCCTCTCCACCGAGAGGGAGGCTGGCGGCGCACACAGGCCTCCAGCTGGCAGGTCTGGCACAGACCACCGGCGCCAGCTGGTAGGACCCCCACCCCTGCCACAATTACGGGCGGGGGTGGCTGCTTACCTGGGCGCCCCAGGGCTGGATCTCCCGGAAATACGGGTGGAGCTAACGTGGCAGGTCGGCCCACAGGGACGTCAGCACCCCTGCTAGCCTGCAAGCCTCTGGGCAGGGAGCACCAAGCCGAGCCAGGCCCCGGGCAGCAGCCTCAGAGCACAGCCTCAGCGCAGGGAGTCCAAGGCCGGGAGCCCCCGCAGGACCCACCCAGCCGGCCCTCGCCAGGCCATGCTTGGATCTGGCCCCCCTCCGCTCGAGCCTCTTGTCACCCAGCTCCACCCAGGGAGCCTTTGGGGAACGCCTGCCCACCCGCCCCCGCCCTGGCCAGGCGCTAAACCAAAGCTGACTTAACCTGTGCTGCTTTCTTAATCACCTTAGCGTGCTAAGCCCTTTCCCCCAACTCTTGTCCTCCTCCCTCCCCGTAACACAAATCCAGTCACATTCCGAGTGCATGAATCGTGTATTAAAGGGGCCCCCAGCCTGCTGACAAACGACGGGCCCACAAAAAGAGGTCTATGTAATGGATGGTCAGTGCATTTTATTGAATCAGCACAGTACAAAAATAAATAAAAATAAGGGAAGGGGATTTAAATTACAGCCAAACTGAGCTTCGTGACTTTGTCAGATTATAAACCACACATACTCACAAACACACTATACATACATACAAAATGAGACAAATATAAATTAATATTAACAATACCCACAGTTTGGTCAAAGAATAGCTACGGAAGAAATTGCACTAAAAAACCAACATATATCACACGTGTAATTAGCAGTTTCAAATATACAGCTATGAATAATTCCGAGTGAAAAAAATGGCACATTTTCTTTTCATTGCAAGTTTAACAACTGTTGGAACAAAACTAAGTTCTAATAACTGCATGGAAAGAATATATCAACCCTCCAGGTTTACAAGAAAAAGAGAGAAATCAAACTCTGAACTATGATTCCTGTGGCTTGTTCTGTGCATGGGTGTAATGTTCACAGTCATCTGCTCTAAGATTATTTTCCTTAAGACACAAAATGCTCCTGTTTGCATGCACAATATCACTGTAAAAGCAACAATTAAAGAATAAAAGGTTTTTCTGTAGGCTAGTTTTTTCTTTTTGTATTGTTGTTCTAAAAGTAGTCTTCATAGCAGCATGTCAAGTGGGTTTGTTGCTTGCACACTCAAGTACATCGGCTGTTCCTCGACACGGTACTGATGACCAGTGCAGGGGGGAGAGAACATGGCAGGCTTCGCGCTGTGGGAACCAGAGTTGCTTCCCTCGTCCCCAGCCACTCCTGAAATGTGCACCTCCTCCGAAACAGGAAAAAATAAATATGGAGAAAGAGAAGGAAACACACAAAGCCGGAATCCTGTGGCTGCAACTTAACCGCACAGATCCAGGCCAGGTGCAGCCGGCTGAAGGCGACTCCCAACATGCGCCCCCCTCTTGGGACTTGGCACCGACCCTCCCTCTTCCATGCCACCAGGGAGGGGCCTCCCACCTCGGTCGCACGCGGCAGCAGGGTCTGAAGACAGGCTGTGTGGAGGCCCCGCAGGGAGGAGATGCTGGGGCGGAGCCTGTGCCAGCAGCCTCGGGTTCCGCCCAGCGCTGCCGCCGGGCCTGACCCCGGGAGCGGCTCCGTGGGCCTCAGGTGCAGCCGGGCAGATGCTCTCCGCCGGGCAGTCCCTCTTCCCCGACAGGTTTGGCTCAGGCCTCTTCAGTCAGGACCTCAATTTCACAGCTTTCTCTTTTTTATGTGAATTTCAGTAGTGCTTGTGCTGAAACTGGCAGCCACCTAGAACCTAACCCTACGTAAAATGACCCTCTGCCTCCCCATCCAGCGCTCCCGGGAGCGGGGGGACACTGAGCCTGGAAGAGAGAATCCTCTGTAGCGCCTTCACGTTGGTCTTTGTTCTCCAAAGCCGAGTGGTGGGCCCCAGAGGAAGACTTGCTCCCTTCTCTTGGTCCTCTCCCAAGGCCCAAGCCAACAATACGGGAGAATGAGAAAGAAAATCGATAAAATACACATCTTGTGTTTTTACAGCCAGTAGGGAAAGGTGGACACCAAGACCAGCAGCTGCAAATGATGACGGTGGAATCAGCAGGCTTCCAAAGCAATCGGGAGTCCCGCTCCTGTCTTGTCATTGTCTCCCAGATCCCGCTGTCTCACTGGGCCTTGCCTGGCAAGGCTTCCTCTCCAGAAGAAACTGAACTGCTTGAAAACAGCTTTAAATTGGCAAGGGCGGGATGGACATATGCCATTACCACATCACCCCAACCCCTGGCATCGCCTTCCCTTCCCCCAGCTCTGCAGGACAAACACCAGCAAGAGGCCCGAGCCCTTAGGTGGGCACCAGCTTGGTTTCAGGCCTGGCACCCACCCCCAGTAGGGAGGCTGTGGCTGACGGGCAACTGCAGCTGTCCTGGCACTTGTCACAGGGTGACCACGCTACATTATTCAAATGAAAAATTCACCCAGGAAAGGAGCTGTCCCAGCTTTACCCACCCCTTTAGCTGGGACCCATAAGGAGAACTTGGGAATCAACCCAGCTCATCGGCCGACACCACCAACATGGCCGGGAGCAGTAGACAAGGGGCTGGGGGCGAGTTCCATTTCTCCACTTAAAGGAAAGCCCTTCTCACTAAAAAATAAAACAGCAAACCAGGACCACGTAGAGTCAAACCACCAGACACAATCTCTGCAGCAGACCCAGCTTTGCCTCGCCTCGCCTCGCCTGAAGACGTCCCAGGGCAGCAGGATCCTGCCTCACAAGCCCACTGGCGGCTCGAGGCAGCTGGCACCAGTAGCCTCTGCGAGAGAGAATGACTCAACACAGGAGCCAGAAAAGGGCCTCCAACCAGAAACCCCAACTCCTCCCTGGGCCCACCAGCCAGAGGCCCCTCTCCAGTTCCCATCCAGGGCACAGCAGGCAGCCTCACCCACCCTGGATCCAGCAGGGGCACAGGCGGCGGGGGCGAGTCAGTCCTCTGAGTTCCCCAAAGTGAGAGGTCAGTGGCCTGGGTGGCTCTGAATCCATCTTCTAGGTTTTGCAAAAGGTTCGTGAGTTCAAAAGTGCCCAGAGGTTCTTGGCAGGGCTGGAAAAAACCCCAGGGAGAGAACATGGGAAGGGAGAGGCCCCTGGTGGCTTTGCTAGACACATACTGTACACAAAACTCATTTAATAATAAATTTTTAAAAATGCGTTGAATCCTTGACCCACGGCGCAGGCTACAGGGCTCACCGATCCAGCCCGAGGAGGAGCCGCTTCTTGTCCTCCTGGCCACTCTCGTTCTTCAGGTCGGAGAAAACCTGCGTGAAGTAATGTGGGTCTGCGTTGATCTGCAGCATCTTGGCGCTCATGAGGTTGATGACAGAGAGGCAGCGGTCCCAAAAGGCCTCCTTGCAGCTCTCCACCAGAAAGGGCTTGAGCGGGTAGGAGATCTCGTTGCCCATGTACGAGTAGGAGAGGTACAGGCAGGTCAGCAGGACGGCCTGGAGCTCGTGGTCCGAGCCCACCTCGGAGGAGATAACATCCCGGCAGAGCATGTACAGGAAGACCACGTTGGCCGGCGTGATGAAGCCCTGGTCCTGCCAGCCCTGCAGCAGCAGCGAGCGGTCCACGCTGCGCAGCCAGAGCACGGGGTCCGTGGGGGACAAGTGCTTCAGGCGGTAGCACCGGCGGCAGAGAAACTCGCCCAGGCAGCGCAGCAGCTCGCTGGTGGACGCCTGGACGATGACCCGTTTGGGCGTCCCCAGGGAGGTGACGGCGGGGTGCGGGGCCTTCTTGACGGAGGAGGAGACCCCGGTCTGGGAGCCCGAGAGCTGGCTGGCCGGGGGTGCGGGCGGCTGGGCCGGCGGGGGCTGGGCGAAGGTGGACAGGTTGGCGCAGGACAGCGACTTCTTCAGGTTCTCATTGTTGAGGTGCGTGACGTTGTTCTGGTAGCTGCTGTTGGGCTGCACCTTCTTGGAGTTCTTCTTCTTGGCCGACACGGCCACGATCCTCTTCCAAGGCAGCACGGAGATGATGGAGTGCCGCTTCAGGTTCTTGTCCTTGGCGTTCTTGCTGTTCTGCACGGCCGTGTAGTGGCCCACCGTGGCCGCGCCATCCTCAAACAGCGTGGCCTTCCGGTAGCTGGGGGACAGGGACAGCACCGTGCCCATGGTGCCGCTGCGCGCCGGGCGGGGACCCGCGCCCCTGCGCGCCCA